ACATATCCATCCCATATCTCATCGAGAAGTACAAAGATATCGAGGCTGGAGCGCACCTTGACTCTGAGCCACTTGGCATCTTTTTAAATAAGACCATTATATAAAACAATCTAATAGGAATGGCCTCTAACCTAGTAGCGATGGCCTCCAGCCTAATAGCAATGGCCTTCAACCTAATATGGCTTCGAACCTAATAGGAATGGCCTCCAGCCTGATAGGAATGGCCTCCAACCTAATGGCGATGGCCTCCAACCTAATAGCGATGGCCTCCAACCCAATAGAGACGGCCTCCAACCTAATAGCCATGGCCTTCCGACCTAATAGCAATGGCCTCCACCCTAGTAGCTTGCAAAGTGTACACCTGTCGTTGGGGTTTGCATTGTTGGACTGCTGTGCCAAGGATTGTATGCGTAGCGGGCCGTGTGAAAAATAAGAGGAGATCTGGCGCAAAGCTGATGTTCTACGACCTCTTTGCTGATGGAGCCCGTGTGCAAATCATGTGCCAGGCCCAGCACCATGAAGATGGCGATTTTGAGGAGGAGCATGCCAAGACCTTCAGTCAAAGTTGGAACGAACCAGGTTGCTGTATCGCATGTGTGTATATATATATATACTATCTTTTATCACACATACAGCAGTGCGTTTGGCCACTTCTTTGGTTCCACGTAAGGGGCGCATGGGATCTCGTAGACCTGTGCTGGGTCTGAAGTCCATTGAGAGCTTGCTCTTTTGAGTTAGAATCAATTCTCCGCTCAGGATTAATCGTGGTGACATTATGGGCGTTCGGGGGTTCGTAGGCAAGTCGAACAACGGCGAGCTCTCGGTTTTCCCGAAGTCTGTGAAGCTTTTGGCAACGTGCCTTCATATGCTGCCAAGAGACCACCAAGGACTGAAGGACCAAGAAGTGCGGTACCGCCGACGTTACTTGGATCTCATGTTGAATGAGGATGTCAGGCGCACCTTTTACATCAGATCCAAGATCGTGAATTTCATCCGACACTTTCTCGATAGTCGTGGCTTCCTCGAAGTGGAAACACCAATGATGAACATGATTGCTGGTGGAGCTACAGCAAAGCCCTTCATCACGCATCACAATGAGCTTGATTTGGACCTCTACATGCGTGTGGCTCCAGAGCTCTACTTGAAGATGCTCGTCATTGGTGGTCTGGACCGGGTTTTTGAGATCGGCCGCAACTTTCGAAACGAAGGCATTGACTTGACGCACAATCCTGAATTCACGGCATGTGAGTTCTACATGGCATACGCAGATTACAATGACCTCATGGACATGACAGAAGAACTTTTCAGTGCCATGGTTCTGAGCATCAAGGGTAGCTACAAGATCGAATACCACCCAGCAGGTCCTGAAGGCCCACCAGTCGAGATAGACTTTACACCGCCATGGCCTCGCATTTCTATGGTTGAAGAAATTGAAAAGAAGAGCGGCATCAAAGTGGGGCTGCTTGTCTTGTGAGGAAAGCGTTCTGAACAACAGTATGTGACGCAGTTGGACACTCATAGCACTCACTCATATTTATCTATTTTTTGTCTACTTGTGAATTCATATATGTGATAATTTTGTTCAACGTGTTTTGATCTTTAACGGCTGCTGTGGAGAGAACCTTGTCGAAAGAAGAGCGTTCAACGTGGGAAAGGAATGCCACGCATAAAGCTGAGGCGAAACTTTGAGGACCCAGAGACGATCAAGAAGCTTGATGACCTCGTCCCATGCCTACTGTGCTACGACCACATAAAACCACATACTGTACAACCACCGTGCTGCGACTACTGTGACGGTACTGATCAGTACTGTCAGTACGGTACTGTGTAGCGATGTTGTATGATGAAGAAGGTGTGAGGGATTTGTGATGTGCGAAGAGAACTCAAAAAAACCTTATTATACGACACTCACACTTTTTATCGACACCTCGTAATTGAAAGCCCTTGATGCCACTACCCCTCGACACCACAAAGACAAGAGAACTCCTGGCTTTGGGGGAAGCGGAGCAGCACCAGCCTAAGGTCACCAAGTTGGAGTTGGAGTGCCCACCCCCACGTTCAGCAGCGCGCTTGCTTGACAAGCTTTGTGGCCATTACATTGAGGATCACATTGCGGCATGTCGGATAGTTTAGCCGCAAAAAGTATCGGCTTGCTTTTCGTTTGAACTAGCTGGCTTTGCATCATGTGTTGCCACCACCCTTCCACCCTTGCACCCTTGAAACAACAGGAGCATGTGCAGCATGCTGATGCACCTGTGTTCTTCTTGGTTTTGTTGGCAAGGTGAATCCTAGCTTCATTACGGAGCACCCCCCAAGTGATGAGCCCCTTGGCAAAATGGCATAGAAGCAAGACTGGCCTGACTGAGCGCTTCGAGCTCTTTGTCAACACGAAGGAGATTTGCAATGCATATACTGAGCTGCACCTTGGACAATATCAATATGTTTGCAATCGGTAGTCTTCAGCCTTTCAGCCGTTTTTCATAAATAGTTTGGCCAGGGTGACAAAGGGCAAAGAAAATGAGTTCCAGAAGCGACCTCCTGACTATGCTACGAGAGTTATGAGAGCTGTTTACAGGATAATGCAGTCTTTTGCAAGCTGTAGAGGTCGAGAGTTCGTGAGAAAGCTGAGGAACGATCCTGAGAGGCAGATGGCATGCTTCCAGGGAGTGGCAAAAGCCGCCGCAGAAGGGGACGACGAAGCACAAGGTGTTGTCGACCATGAATTTGTGACTGCTCTTGAGCATGGACTGCCTCCGACGGGAGGCCGGCAACGTCTTTTCGCGGTTGGGCCGCTTTTGTGTTCCTGTTTGACCAGACTAGCGGTGAGTGTTCTCCAGGTTGGGGATGTGGAGTGGACCGCTTGACTATGTTCCTTGCCGACAAGATTCTCGGCTTGCGTACGTGCATGTTGTCTTCCAACATGTTGCCTTGCCCGCGTGAACGTATTGTTGCCTTCCAAGGAACAACATCAAAGAAGTCATTCTGTTCCCAGCCATGAAGCCGCAATGAGCAGACCCGGTCATAGCTTGCTCGTCAGCGGGGCTGCCAGAAGCCTGACGACAAAACGGACAGACCTCTTGAAGGAACATCAATTGACCCGCTCAAAAGTCAACTGCCTTGCTTTGGGCTCTCCGCCTCATTTGCACATGTGCTCCTTTTGCATACTGTAGTTTAGTTTTGTCTTCCAAGTTAGATTTCAGCGTGCGGGATGATTCTGCATTGGCTGCACTGCTGCGGCATTTTGCTCAAACATCTTATATATAGCTCCTGTACAGTAGGACGTCGAATGAGGATGGCAGGGCTTGTTGTTTTCTGGCTCTTTCAACCATGATCGATTACGAGTATAGTTCCTGAGCTGCAGCTGTTTGTCACATGTCACATACCAGAGCCATCGTGCTTCTGCGCAAGTAGCCTCTAAGAAAGAGATACAGTCAGAGAGAGAGAGAGAGAGAGAGTGAGAGAGAGAGAGAGAGCGAGCGAGCCAGCGAGCGAGCGAGGGAGGGAGGGAGGGAGCGAGAGAGGGAGAGAGGGAGAGAGGGAGAGAGGGAGAGAGGGGGAGAGGGGGAGAGGGGGAGAGGGAGAGACAGACACACACTGAGACTGACGCCAACTCTCACAATTGCATACAGAGAGCTTTCGCCCTTGCATGTCAGGTGTGTACAATTGTGCGTTCTTGTTGCGATATCGCGGCAGCGTTTTCCCCTTTGCCTGCTTGGTGGCCTTTCCATGCAGCTTCGGTTGCACAGATACTTTGTCGATCCTCCAGTGGGACAGATTGACAAGAGCAGCCAAGGCACCCTTGCCGCCGCACTGTTGAACCTGGGACTTGTGATTGACCTCTTTTGTTATGCAATTTTCGAGCCCTTTTTCTAAATGGGTTTGTGGGTGGGAATGGGATGGTGCGGGGGGAAGAGCTTCTAGCCTGTTCCGAGGAAGAGTTTTACACTCCACGATCCAGATTTTAACATGTCGGACTGGCAATTGCTGGCAGATGGCAGCTCTGGTGCTTGGAGCGGCTTCAATTTCCTGGTGCCCCAGCTTTCAGCTTTCAGCTTTACATTGTGAAGACTTCACTTTAGGGAGAACTCTTCTGTCTGCAAGCAAATTGAGTCAGTAGCTAGTAGAACTGGCATTTGCATAACATGCCACCTGAATGACTGTCACTCTTGATTTGGGCACGTTCAGTCTTCGTGTGGCGGGTGTGTTGAGGGGATGAAGGCTCAACAGATTTCAATCCTTTTGGCTGAGGTTGGCTTTGTCATCGTGTTCCGAACGTCCCAGGTGGCTCAGACAAGAAGGATTTGCGTCTTGATCGTAGCCTCTGGTTGCCTTAAGGGGACAAACAGATGGAATGATGTATACAGGTGTTGGACGACTAGAATCTAATATCTGTGTCAATAAGGCACATGTCACATCTTCCTATTGCTTTATTGGTCATTCCATGCAAAGGCTTCTATACAACGACTGCAAGGCCAGTAGAATCTTGAAGGATGTCTCTAGGTCTGACATGCAGCTGCGGGTGCTTGAGCGTGCCTGTGCCCCCAATGCGTTGTAGCAGGGTGTGGGCCATGTGGGGTAGAGCAAGGCGCTGTGAGAGGGCACCCCTGTAAAGCTTGACCTCCGCAGATTTGCACTTTCCCGTGGTTGATAATTACATGATATATATATATATATATTTGCTGTTCAAGTTGGACACAGGTCACGAAAGGTAGCTTGAGCTACCTGAGTTCTCCTTGCTTTAGCAAAAATGTATTACAATCAGGAGTTGGGATTGTGCATTGAATTTGGTCCTGTAAGAGTTGATTCTGTTCGTCGGGGGGGGGGGGCCCCCCCCTGGATCAAATCCCCCCTGCGCCGGTTCACGCCGTCGTGGACTTCTACCAGGGTTACTTGTGATTGCCTGCTACCTTTCGTTCACCCCCTCCTCTCTCAAGTTGAATTTCCTTCTGGCAGCCGAGGCATACACTCGCTTTTGGTCTGCCTTAGGCGACACCCACCAGATGATGGCAGCATGGTTTGAAGCGGCGAGCAGTGTTGTTGCATTTTCAAGGAGAGATCGACATGAGACAAAGACAACGTGCGGTGGCTAAACTACCAGCCCTTGCCACTCTGACTGAAACGCGGTGTGATGTTTGGGATGCGAATCTTGAGAAGATTTGACACCCATGTGGCCCCATATGTGAATCCATGCAGTACACCGCCGACCTCGGCAGCTGATTGTTTCCGTGCAAGGAGCTCCCCTGCAGACATGTTGGTCGTTGAGAATTGGCTCCACACTGCAGCTTGGCCTTGAACTCTCCATAGGTCAATTCTGTCAGTTAATTCCATCTCCAGTTGTATTGCTTTTTGCAGCGAAGGTGATTCGATTGTTCAGCCTGCTGAGTGCATCCGCCTTACAGGAACTGACGGATGTTGCATATCACCACACTTGGGGATTGCCAACCTTGGATGCATCTGCGATTGATCCACAAAGCATAAGCACTCTTGATGCTTCGTCCTGCAGAGTGGAGCTGCTTTACCATTGGATCCAGCAGTTCATCTCAGATGGAGCTCAGCTAGGCGTGCTCACTACACCTGCACCTTTGCTAAACCGCACCCTTGCAGAGCTGGCCAAGGGAATGGACAAATATCAAGATGCGATGAAACATTCCAAGATCCCTTTTCCCTTTCCCTATGCGCAAACTACCTTGGTGCTCTTAATCTTCCATTGGATTCTGACGCCGCTGGTCATGGCGCAGTGGACAACTACGGTGTTTGGATCCGCAGTCTTCACCTTTGTTCAGGTATTTACCTTGTGGTGCCTCAATGCTACAGCTGTGGGTTTCGAGCGGCCATTCGGGGGAGAGGCAAACGATATTGACCACATCGACTTACAAATGATGATGAACAAAAGCCTCATCAACTTGATGGAACCACGATCTCGCCGACTTCCCTTCATCCCAGCTACAACGTATCTCGACATCGAGGTACTACGGAAAAGGGACACAATCCACGCGGCTGCATTGCAGCAGGAAGGCTGGGAGCTAAAGGATATAGACTGGAACGCAGGTATCGCTGGTATGGCAGGTGCTTTCCAAGCTTGTTGTCGTTCCTGCAGTAAACGACGCAGACCTACTGCAGGGCGCAGCCTCATTGCAGTCTCTACACGCTACAGCAGCAAACGTTATTGTGAAATAGACGGAGAAAAGACAGCCGTGCTGACTGTCGGAATCGTTGGCTCCGAATTGTTCTTGGCACTGCCAGCCCTTCCAAATGACACCCGGAACACGTTTGAAGTGCTCAACGTCGCAGGGCGCCCCTGCACATTGCGAGCAAAGCGGATCCCAATCCAACAAAGACATTTGCTGACTAAAGGACCAGATCCGGCATGGAAACTTGGTCTGACAATGTGACTCAGGTAGGAAGGGTTGGGTTGCCCCAGGCCCCAGCATCTCAGATCACAGAGACAGTCATTGACAGTCATAAACACATGTCAGAAGACAACAGTATATATATATATAAGTTATGATAAGATGATAAGATATGACAAAAATATGATAAGTAATCACGAAAGCTAGCATCAGCTAGCTGGAGTTGCTCTTGCTTTAGCAAGTCAAGGGCTCGCAGCCTCGAGAATCATGAATCACGTGAAAACTTCACGTGTAGGGCCCCCCCCCCCCCCGCTCCAACCCCCCCCTGGGACGCTTCCGGTACGTGCTATAGTGCTATGTTTAAGGGTTCAAGGCTTCAATGATGAGCATCACGGGAAGTCAGAAACCAGGCGTATCAGATACACGTGCCTTTGAGCTTCCTTCGGCATCTCAGTGCATATGGCTGACACTTCACTCGACAAAGATGATACATAAACCAGGTGTATCTGATACGCCTGGTTTGTGACTTCCCGTGATTCAACTGTTGGATCGTCATGTATGTAATGAGGGACTGAAGAAAAGCAACCAGTCCGGATGCACCCCTGCTAGCTTTCGTCACCTACCCTCGGCCTCAAGTGTAAGTCAAGCTGAAAACACCTACAGGGATCATTAAAAAAGGATCAAAGCACCCCTATGTTGTCAACGTTCTGGTTGATATATATATATATGTATTTTCATACGTATAAACTAGCAAATACATGAACATATATATATATACAGATAAGTTATATGTGCTATATGCTTCCTACTCTCCACGGGTGCAGAGGCGTTGCCCTATGGTTCCGCATAATCCATAAGTGCACACAGGTAGTAGACAAGATAAGAAAGGAGGGTAGGTGCGACGCACAAGTGCACCGAGACCCAAGATCTCATGTTGTGGCGAGACCAGAGTAAAGCAGTTAACCACACCTGCATTCAGTGTGCTTCCTACTCTTGGTCACTCCAGCACCATACCCCCCTTATGTTTACAGAGACATTGGCCCACAAGGGCCGAATGAAGCCTGAAACCAACCAGAACTAGGGAGCACTCAGAAAGGACCTGCCATTGCGAAGAAACTGCAAGAAGTCATGGATGGAGAACTCCCGAGTCAAGGGGATAAGGAAGGACAGAAGGATGGAAGGAGGAAGGAAAAAACAAGATATATACATTGTATTACACAGCGTTTTTGTCACAGGAGTGAATCATTGGCTTGATCAAATCAAGCACTCCTAGTTTGAGAGTGATCCCATTTCAGATGCCAGGTCACAGTTCCAAGTTTCAGCAGTTGGGGGCTTAAGCACTTCAATGGCGAAAAACAGTGTCCCGGCCCATGCCCTTCCTCGTAAAGAGTAAAGAGGGCTTCCTGCTTATCAATGGTCCCTCCAAGGCAGTCCCTCAAGTCAAGCTGTTTGAAAATAGCCGACAGTCATATTGCCAAGTACCTTCAACTGATTGCAACGCGTGCGTCACATCAGGGTGACTGCTTGTTGAAACGATAACCATAAAAAGCGGTTTGAGATTTGGAGGCATGGTTGATCATTCTTTGCATTTTTTGAATTGATTTAGGCGGGAGGTGTGAGACTCGCGTCTACATGGTTGCACACCTGCATGTTTGCAAGTAAGCTTTATTGTCAGTGCTTAGCTGAGCTGCTCGCTTAGTATTGACCTTTTGCAAGTAAACAACCTCTAGAGTCCAGGCTTGAGATCACCACTTCTAGACCCCTGCTGGTCCTAGCACCCAGACTTGAACCTTCGAATCATTGCACAGGGGCTAGTGGTTGTCCTGAGCGGAAGTGAGGCTCCGCGTCCTTGCATAAGCTGTTTGCGGCCCCTCTTTTGATGTCAATTGGGTGAACCAAGATTGATTTTCGATCTTGCTCATGCGAAGCGAGCATACTTGATGGAATGCTTGATGATTCATGTTTTTCATGGGACCTTGTGACCAAACTGTTGGACGAAACCTGCAAAACACAGTATTCATTCCATAACTTTTTTTTTTAATTTGTCAAGTGCGTGTGGCTCAATCTTTGTGAGGAATGACGATTATCGTGATTTTCCACCGGAGTACAACTTTGCAGCTGAAGCACTGGCAAGAGCATACGAGAAGCAGAAGGGGTCAAGAGCAGAGGTAGGAAGACATTCCCAAGGCGAAGAGGCCAAAGCGCCTTGGTGTTACTGTTCCCAAAGAAGTAACGCGGTGCCGTAAATAATTCTATTTTAATCGTTTTTGACAGCTTTCGTTCTTGTGTTTTTTTGCGAATCTATGCTCTTGAGGTGATGAGAGGTGTGTCCCAGCATTTGCAAGGAGGTCCAGGAGAAGCAGCACCTGAAGCCACCAACCCAGAGCAAGAACAAACTGGACACATATGAATTAAGAAGCACATAATACGTATACAACATACATCTAGATATAAACTTAAAAATATCAGAGTCATAAAGGAAGAAGAGATATGAAAGAAGGAAGTTACCTTCCTTTGATTAATATCATTTTCTAATCTTGTATTATTGAACAAGACACTGATAGCTGGAAGCCCTGGAAACTTGAGGCAGATGACAAGGGCCCAGTCCTTCCAGGTGCAGTGCAGGACCTTAAGGCGGGTCAAGGAGAGAGAGAGAGAGAGAGCGAGAGAGAGAGACATTGAGGCAACCTAATAGCAATGGCCTCCAGCCTACTGGCGAGAGAGACATTAAGGCGCAAAGGCGGGTTGCAATAAGCTTTCTGCTCATCCCTCCCAGCAGGACCCTATGCCAGAGGCTCCGAGTGGGTCGAGTGAGAGGAAGGTGGCACCTCTTCCCGCCGGTGGGACTGGAGTGCCTCTTTTGAAAAGTCTAAAGCAATACAGAGAACTGCTAAAGTCGTGCCTGTATGTTGGAAATCTTAGCAAATAGCTTGGGGAAAGGGTTTTTCAGAAGTCGTGCCTTTTTACTCAACGCATTGTAAATGCAATCCGAAATGGTGGTTTTGAAGCTTTTTTTGATGTATTTTGTTGCGTTTAGCTTGTGTCCAGCTAATGGGGCGGAGTTGTTTTCTTTGAGTTCGACGCTTTTGATTGTTGCGTTTAGTTTGTGTTCTGCATTTTTTGGAATATCTTCGGATATAGTTGCAAAGACTCTTTATGTTGGAATTTGCATGGGCAGTGCTACTGTTTGATGTTTGCTGCTTTGTTTTGAAAACCGAATCACGCATTTTGCGCCTGAATGTTCGGCAAGACTGTACTGACGTGATGGGTGATGAGATTTTGCATGAAGACTGCAGACCCAAGTTGACCAGCAGTTGACCAGCAGTGAAGCGCTTGGCTATCGGCATGGCGTGCAAACCGTGGAAAGCGGTTTGCAAAAGTTGCCAAAAAATAGAATTCAGAGATCGCACGGCTCCAAAAACTGTTGCGTTTAGCTTGGGGGAAGCATGAAAGGCATGAGATAGGCATGACTTTCCTAAAACTGCGTTTACATGCTGGAACACATAGATTTCAGGACGCAGGCGTGAGTTAGGCATGAGTTTCGCGCTTGCCTGTAGCCTTGAAGTCGTACCACAGCGGCTTGCGGAAAGTCTAAATACGCATTTATTAGGCAGTTCCTGCAAGACTGTGCAGAATACAGGCATTGTAGGAAGTCAATGGAAGCGAATCATGGCCAAGGTTGCTACACAGCCAGACGCTCCTTCCAGTGAAAAGCCCAGCGAAGAACACCTGTCCGCGAGGAAAGAAGGCCATGTGGCTTGTGGCCACCGAAACCGTTGCCTTCTCATGGGCAACCTCTGTCCACCCTTTGTTTCAAAGTTTTCTTTCAAACTCCACACTCAGCAAGCGAAACTTAAGTCTTATCATGCTTAGACAGATTTGTGGACCTTTGTTGATCCAGGTCCGAGGGATGTGGTTCTTCCATGGATGCGAGAAGCGGATGAAGGGAAGAAGCCGGAGGATCGCCATTTCGTGCAAGACCACCCAACCTCAAAGTAATCAAATGATTAGTGCGAGCGCTTCTTCAAGGAAGCTCCCCCGCCCTCAGGCGTGGGGAGCTTCCTTGAAGAAGCGTGAGCTATCCTGCGTCCATGTCTAGGAGCTAGTAGCTACCTCTTCTTCCTCTTGTACCCCCCTCCCCCAGGCCTAAAAATACTCCTTTGAAGGATGCTTTTGGCAATGTCTTTCCGGCTGTCTCCAGTTGTTTGCTATGCTGGATTGCTCGCCTCTTTCGTGTCTACAGGATAGGGAAACCGATGGAAACCAAATAATCCACTTAGAACAGACACCCTTGACCAAACCTGGGTGCCCACGCATACACGAAGTCAGGGTGCACTGGGAATGAGTGTTTGAGGTTGACTCACAAGAAAACGTTTCCCGTGTCAGAGTTGTTTGATTCCTCAACATTCTTATGTGGACGGGTGAAATAGCCCGCAGCGTTCATGTGGGGAAGCGACAGGTTCAACTCACCATCCTCCCTTCAGGAGCCAAAGCCTCCAGAAGGAGGGCAAGTCCTTCCATGGGGGGCGCAGATAACTGGAAAGGAGGTTGAATCGGCACCAGCTGAGGATGCAAAATGTGACTTTGCATGCAAAATGTGTGAAAGGCTCAATGGGTTTCCTCCGTCAGTGGAAGAGAGTCACCTTCCAAGGTGACCTCGAAGCTGGAGCACAGGACCCCGAGCAAGTCATGCAGGATGGCAGGGAGGTCACCGCTGCAGTGAGTTCCCTGGCGTGGAAGTTCGCAAGGTTTCGGGTCTACTAGGTACTAGCGTTAAGTCAACTCAGCTTGTGTAAAGTCGACTCGGAACCGTGTGCCCTTGAAGAACTGCACTCCACAGGGATGCCTAAGCATAGATTGTATTGATCTTGTTTTGTCTTGTGCCCATGCTGTGCCTGATTGTCACTCGTTTGTATTTATGCATCTGTTCTTTGGGGGAGGGCAGCTTCCACAGAGGTGAAGGGTCACGGATTTGTGACAGTTTTGATGCAGAGCACCTTGGGCCCATGCCATAATTGCAAGGATCTTCGGGCCCAGCTGGTCTTCTGCCGATGCTGCTGGTTTGCTGGTGCTGTTGTTGTTGCTGTGCTGGTTGGCGGCTAGTTTGCTGCTGCTGCTGCTGCTGCGACTTAGTCGTGGCGTGGCTTGGCCAAAATGCGTCGACTTCACGCGAGTGGGTTGACTTCGGCTGAAACCTTGTGCCCACGCAGTGAGTTGACTTCACGCGAGGTGGGTTGACTTATATAAGTACGCCGCTTGTATGTGAAAGCGCTGTTTGGGGCCAAGAGATGCACATGAGTGACATGACCTCAAATGAATTCTAAAAACTATGAAACTATACTGTGCAGTCGCCCGACTGAACACCTCTGCTTGAGACTTGCCTAGTTATTGACCAAGCAGGGCTGCCTGGCAAAAATGGAATGATGCGAGGTAAGGTTATAGCGTTGTGTAATGTAGAGCTCTGGTGGCTTTGCCTAATTACAGCAGTGCAAAAAACATCACCGCGCCGCTACAAGATTTTTCCCTTACACTCCATGCCTTGTCCAGATGACTCCTTGCAGACATTGCAAGCAAAATCTGCAGGTTGATGAAGTTCACCAGTGATAAAACAAAAATGACAACAAGAAGGCAACAAGAATGACAACAAGAATCTACAAGGGGTCTTCTCAAGGTCTGAATGGTGGTCGCTGTACACAATTAAATACATACATGGGGCCCGCCGTGACGAAACCACACTTTTGATGGTTTTGTGGCGACAAAACTGGCCCCCTCCTCGCAGCAGGCAATGCGTGGGGTGAGACAAGGGACATCGCCAGTGCTAGTGACGTGCCAGTTTTCTTTGTCCCAGCATGTTGCAAAATTCTATACCAGCACTCGCGGTCTGGCCCCAAATCCATTTTCTGGTTAAAGATCGTGCCCGTTCTTGGGACCACGAAGCTGCGCAAACGCAACAGTATACAGTATTTTGGCCATCATGATGGGGTGCGAAATTATTACTTTGTTGGATAATTTTGGGGCTGCGTCGGGCAACGCGGCGGCAACATGTTTGAGTTCGACACAAACACGCACACTTATAGAAATGCGCGCTGATGTGAAACGGTTGCCAGCCGCCAACCTGGAGCAGGGCCAAAAGCTCAATGCGTGACTGCAGAAAAGGCTTAATAATTGAAAGGCAGGTACGTCAGTGCTGGCCGGGCACTGATATCACATCCACTTGGCGCGGTCTTTGTTAGATGAGGCACACCAAGGGATCCTCATCCATTAGAGAAGTCCGTTAGAGAAGTGATCCCCCGGGGCCCCTGCTGTTAAAAAACAAGTTGAGTGCTTCCCTAAACCCAGGCTGTAAACGGTCAATGCAGAATCGCTTTTAGTAAGCCACAGGCAGTGACTTCCCTTTGACTCGTTCGGTCAAGCTCCCTCAAGCACATGATTTGCCGGTTCCGCTCTCTCTCTCTCTCTCGCACAGCGGCCCCTGCTGAAGCAAGAAAAACATGAAGAAATCTCTAATCCAAAAGGATCCCTGTGACTCCAAGGGGTACACACACACACGACCCGCAAGGGGAGGCACGCGGAGACACATCCAGTTGATCATCCGTGCTTCTCTAAATCCAGGCTGTAAATGGTCAATGCAGAATCGTTTTTAGTAAGCCACAGGCAGTGACTTTCCTTTTGACTCGTTCGGTCAAACTCACTCAAGCAAATGATTTGCCGGTTCCCCACTCCGACCGGCGGGTTCCGCTCTCTCTCTCTCTCTCTCTGTGTCTCTCTCTCTCTCACGGCAGCCGCGGCGGCGCAGGAAGGGTGATGGAGAGAGAGAGAGAGAGGTGCCCCCAGCTACGAAACAAGCGTCCAGGGACACGAGGGGGTGTACCTGAGTGTTGCGCCCAGGAACACCCAAAAAACAGGCAAGACGGAAGAGGGGAGAAGGGAAGGGGAGGAATTGAGGATTAAGGCCCCCGACAGGTTCCAATGAACCTTAAGTAGCTTCGGCCGCTGCGGCCACGTACGCCGTGCCAAAATGGCTGGCTGCTTTAACTTTGACCGCTGTGGTCAGCTAATGGCTTGTCCGAAGACTGCCCACTTGGAATTTGATAATCCGTCAGGTCTTGGCAAATAACTTTAATTAGCATAAGCCTCCTGCTGTCCGCTCTGGACACGTACATCTCCGGGCAGGGGAGATAAAGCCCTTCGGTCGAGCTCCTCAAGCAAATTATTTGCCGGTTCCCAACCCCGACCAGCGGGTTCC